GGTGAAAGAGGGCAAGGACAAAGAGAATCCTCCCTCAGATTCAGCATGGGCAAGTGGATGATGCAGTCGCCAGATATTCAACTGCACTTATGGTCGTAGATCTGAGTGCGCTCAGAATAGCACGTATTTTCGAGGTATCAACTAGAGATTGGCTATTTGGCTGATGAGTCATCTTGTCGCGATGCTCTTGAGGCCGACGCTAAGTATCGAAGGTCTATCTCGAAGCGAGTTATGTCGGGTATTCCTCTGTGGAGCTGCTTTACCGAGGGTCAGTTCAGAAGTTTCTTTGATAGATGCTTATCCGAGGCCGCAGGGAGGAAAGCGTATCGAGATGCTGCAACTCCTTCCTGGAGTTATAAGGGTAAAGGATACGGTAAAGGCTCTGGAAAAGGCGCTGGCAAAGCAATGAGCAAGGGTGGCAAGGGCCGCAAGGGTGGTTCGATGACATCCTGGTCATCTAGCGACAACTCATCTTGGCATCAAACTTGGGGTCCGAAGGATCAGAATATCAAGAGAGGGTCCGAAAGCTACCCTCAGGCTAGTGCCGCCAAGAAGACGAAGGCCGAGGGACACTGATGATCAGTGATCAGTGACTGACCCAACATAGGCGTGTGTTTCATCGTGTGTCGTTTCAGTAGTTTTCTTTCCGTTTCGTGAGATTGCTCTGTTTTGCGTGTCTATGAGTGTTACAATGAGACATAGGAGCCAACGGAGTCATACTAGTATAGCATAACACACCTGACGTGCCCATTACGAATCCTGATTCACGATGGCGTCAGCTCAACGCTGGAATATACGAACTTCGTATTACGAAGGATACGTGCAGCCGGCATGCAAAAATTCTAACAAAAAAAATGAAGCATGTAGTAGAGGCCAAATGAAAACCTGATGTAGTTTGCTTGTTTCTATTCGATGGCTAAACGTCTGCGTAGTGAGGCAGCCCTCCGTCGCCGTAAGGCTAAAGAACGCACTAGGCGGGCATTGCTGCGGGCCAAGACCCCCAAAGCGTTGAAGCCGTCGGGGCGTGCATCGGTGCCGTCTATCACTTCACCTCTCGGTAAAGAGACTCCTCTTGGCCCCCATAAGAGCGTTGATCATCCGGCTGATCGACGTGCTATCGATCTCTACAAGACGGCTTTTGCTTTGGCTGAGTCCGAGCAGGTTGAATTATTGGAGAAGATTTCGGATGGAACAGCGAAATCCTCTAAATGCGACTGGGGCAATTTGAAAGGATCTGCTGCTCACCAGCTCGAGCCCCCTCATCAGCTGGTGGAGATCAGAAATATGTTCGATAGAGCGACAAATGAGATACTCAGTACCAGAGCTGGTGACAGTCTTCTGAAATGGATGCAGCTCGACCGTGAGGAGCAGGGCAAGCAGCAGCATGTATGGGATGAACTGGGCCCAACGTTAGCCACTGCTGCTACCTCTTTAAGGGAAAATTTATGTGACCTACTACACGTATCAGAGTCGTCAATTCAAGACTGTGATTTCCAAGCCGGGCTTCTGAAAGCTATGCTCTTGGCAACTGCGGATATCGACGAGTCCGAAGACGTAGAACTCTTGGACGAAATAATGTTGCAAGGCGGAGTGAATATCGGCATCACATCCCCAGTTAGTTCCAGTGGTTGGTGGCCAAACGCTCGGGACGTTAAGAATTCTGACGACGGAGAAAGTTTGAGCTACTTCGCCAGCGATTCATGGAGGAACTATAGCTCAGCGGAGCTGATGGAGGGCAGTCTCATGGAATATTATGACAGCGAGATCGCTAAGGGTTTCATGGAAGACTGGGATTCACTTCCTCGGGACGCCGTAGTCTCCAGAATTGCCAGGGTTTGCCCTTTGGGCACGGGCGGAAATTTCCGAAGGAAATTTTCGAGAAAATTTCAGAAATTTCCGTTGAGGCTGGAAATTCTTGGAAATTTCCTAAAAATGCCCAAAAAATCGTGCCCAGGGTAGTAGAGAGGAGAGAAGTAGTTCAGATTCATTCATAATGGCCGAATGAAGCTAGTCAAGGCGTTCGCAGGTGTCTACTGGTCACTATGAATACATCTTGCGGTTACCCTCAAATATCGATCAAGCGGGCGTGCGCGTGAGCCTCTCAAGAGTTAGCGATTCTCAAACTATCTTGCAATCTTGCG